CATCACTATCAGTAGGCCCTTCTTCTTGTTCACTATAATACCAACAACAGTCATCAGTAAGGTTCGTGGCCGTATTGCTCCGCCCCACCAGAGTAGTCATAGTCATACTCGTACGCCGCCGCATTGCCGCCATCACCATCACGATGATCACCACCGCCGCCACTGGTATCCCCCCAACCTGTTGGCTCTACGATAGCCATCACTTCATTCTGCACCGCAACTCCCCCGCCCCCCGCCTCTTCCGCCTGCAGCAGCGTCAGACTCCCCCCCCCTGCCTCAACGGGAGTCTCCCCCCCCCTAGACCGAGCGGCCCACTGGTCTACCGTCACCCTGGTGTGGTGCCGGACGTCTTCGTGCGCGTGTGTCCTCTCCCAGCAGTTGTCGCAGAGCACAACCTCGCCGCTGCTACCGACGTCTGCTGATGATGACGGTGTTGTCCCCGGTGCCCCCCCGCCTGGTCGTTTCCCCCTCGTGCCGCCTCTGCTCTCCGGGCCCTTGTCGTGGCACTCGGTGCACACGAGGGTCGCGTCGCGCTGGGCGCAGACCTGGCACGTGAAACCCTTGGAGGTTTCCCAGTTGTGCCAGAGGCATTCTTCTCCCTCGAGGTGCTCTCCCCGAAAGCAGACGAAGCACAGGTCTCGCTCTTCGACCGTGCACCTGGTGGTTGGGGGTGATGTTAACCCTACCGCCGTCCTCTATACTTTTTCATGTTTTGTTCCTCGTATATTGCGCATGATAGTAACGAAAAAGATATGACCACGCCTTATGTGAAGAAACCAAATATAAACATGCTTTTCGAAAACAAATGCCCCATCAAGGTAAACAAACATTACGTCTAAATGCTACGAAGTAACGCATGCTGCATGGCGAAAACGTGTTGCATACAAGTATCACTTGCTTTGCGGGCAGGTCCGAAAAACGTTGTTTCTCTGATTCTCGACGGTGCTGAACGCGCATCATCGCTCATCGGCGATGTCATCTCGCGTGTATCAATATATCAAAAAGAGAGGGCCTAGCGCTTTCAACGCTTGTACCGAACAATTTGCGAGTGGAGGGTGTTTGCTGCTCGCGTACAAGGTGGCCAACACTGGTGCGATATCGAACACACACACGGCGGGTGGAGACCAGGCGACCTCCTGCTAGGCCGATGCTTCGAGGAGCGGTTTCAAGAGCAACGTCTGTACCATCTACGTAGATCTAGCGGCCTGTTCGACCTTTCGCACGGCTACTCTGTACACGGCGAAGACGCTACAAATACACACGACGAGAACTCATCAAGAGTATTGTCGCGATTGATTGATTTTTCACCGGCTTCGGCTTATCGGCGAGGTTATGGGATCAGGTCGTCGTCTGGGTGCGCAGATCTCATGGGACACGTCCTTCTGGTCGGCCGGCTTCGCATTGACCTACAGCTCGATTCGGGAATATTTAGATAGCACAGGACAGGATACATGGAACACATCACACATCCTATACCACTGAGAACGTATTTTTTAGTAGTGGAAACCTGCGACTGGCGAGCTGCGTTTGGCACGAGGAGCAACGAAGGTAGCCGGCTGGCTTTTCATCCTGCCGTAGCCCGCTCCGGGTGTTGTAAAAGTACGACTTCATTGAGGCAGAGAAACAAAGAGATAGAGGGGGGGAGGGAGAGGGAGAGGGAGAGAAACAGACAGAGAGATAGAAAGGTGGGTAGAGAGACGATGGCCCATTCAGAGTGGGTTGACTGGGTGGGAGGGCGTGGAAGTATACCGTCGCAACTTGCCCGCTTGCCGGGCTTAGTTTGGCTTCGTCGAAGAACCTGCATTATGCACACCCTGTATTTCCGATACGTTGGTCTCAACCTCCCAACCTCATTGCCGGAAGGGATTTTTCGTGCGGGTGTAGTCGATGAATATTGCTTTGCCGATTGCGTGATCACGACGTCCCCGTAACTTGGTATCTGTAGTATATGCCCTCCCAAACAGACCCCTTGCACTGCATGCAGTTCTCGGCACAAACACGCAGAATGTTGTAGACAGGATATTCCCCCCCCGCCGAGTATTCCGTGCAGTGTACTGGTGCATCACTCTCTCGCAGCGGAAGCCGCACGTGCTTGTACAAACAACAAGTGCCCATGCGTGTATTCTCTTGCAAGCCGCCGAACTAATTCTATATCCGAGAGTCGGTTCTACTACTCCAATCGTTTTCGACGGCCCCCCTTAATAGGAATCACACTCAAGGATTTCCCAGGTTTTCGCCCAACGGGCGTCGGAATTAGGCAGCCAGATTTTCCAAAAACAATCGCACCTGGCCGAAGAGCCTCGAGATAAAAATCCATTCCGGAACGCTCGGCATCTTCGCGCCCCGCCCGCGCCACCGCCGCAGCATGCTCGGGACTTCCCACGCCGCCTGCTTCAGCCCGTGGTTGAAGTAGTACTGCTGGTTAAAGCCCGGGTCCCAGAGCACCTCTATCGTGATCTGCAGCAGCTGCAGGGCGAGCCATTTCGCCCGCAGGATCCTCCACCAGCACTGTATCCTCGTGGCCATGAGGGTGGTCTCCCTGTTTTTCGCGCGGGCCTTTTCGACGTCCCACTTCCACCGCAGCAGGGCCCGCCGCTTGCGAGCGGCCCAAGCGTGGTACTGCCGCTGCATCGTAGTTGCGGCCCTGAGGTGATGAGGAGTACCGGTTTGACGGAGGCGGCGTCGGCGGCGGTGTGTGTGTGTGTGGGGGGGGGGGG